CCGGAACTTCTGGTAGGCCCATTTTTCACCCTTCCCCGGCTCCGGAGGTTTTCCCTGAGCTTCCTGTAGGGTGAAAATGACCTCACCAAGCTCCGGAGACCCTCCTGAATCTGGAAATGGGCCTGTTTCTGCACTTCTGGAACTTCCAGTAGGCCTGTTTTTCTCCCTCCCAAAGCCTCTGTGCGAGCCTTGTACTTACCTGGCATGATGAATGGGCTGTGTAGAAACTCCTGGGAGGGGCAGGGTTGGTGGGGTGGGGCCAGCCAGTCCTTTTAACAACCGGTTTGGCAAACCAGATGCAAAAATAGCATCCGGTTTGCCTGAACTGGTGCGAACCGGCTGAATCCCACCCCGATTGATACGCACAGATCTATTTTCTTGCTGACTCCTGTACTATTTTCTTTCTGGTTGTCAGGAGGTAATGATCCAGCGTTAGCATCGCATTGCTCATGATGATGTCCGGACTGCCGGAAGCCTTGAGCCGGCTGAGAGCAAATTCTCTCCGTAGTTGCTTCAGCCTGGCAGGGCCCTCAGAGTCCACCATGGTGGCTGTACCCATCGATATTGACAAGGATGAAGTTCGGATCCTCAAGGTTTGTTTCCACAGCAACAGCTTCAACATGGGCAAGAACTTCAAACTGGTGAAATGTACAGTCATGACGGAGATACGGGTGAGTTTCGTGAATCAGACTCATTGATTGGTGGCTTCTTGCAATGGGCTGGGATCCATGTCCTTCTGGTTTACACCAGTGTTCCTCCTATTTGATGAGAGCTACTTTAGGGTGGGGTTAAGATATCAGACTAGAAACCAGGAGGCATGAGTTCTTGTCCCACCTTAGGCATAAAGCCAGCTGGGTGACCTTGAGCCAATCACTGTCTCTCAGCCCTAGGAAGGAGGCAATGACAAATCCTGCAGGTTCTTGTCCAGCAGTCTCTGAGAACCAGACACCATTGAACAGAAGAAAACAAGCAAACTTGGCAGTTTTAACCTGAGTGGACTTCAAACTTCCAGAATTCCTCAGAATGCTGGCTGGGGATATCTGGGAATTGAAGTCCACGTATCTTAAAAAGTTGCCATGTTTGAAAAACACTGATTTAAATGAACAGAATGCCCCTTATTAAAAGATGCATAAGTGTATATATCACCAAGGTATGGGTTCAAGGTGTTTCTGCACATTATGTTTAAATTGCATCCCCTCCCCTGCCGATTCCCAGTCATTGAGGGCCAGAGGGTAGATGATTACTTCAGTCTTTGGGGCAATGGAGAGGAGGGAACCAGAGTGGAAGCAGTCCTTCCTTTTGAACTTGTTTTCCCATCCTTAATATTGGACCAAACCCTGAAAAACAGGCCAAAATTGCATCACCAACATTTAGCAACAGAGTCTCAGGCTTCTAAAGCAGTGTTTCTCAACCTTGGCAACTTGAAGATGTCTGGCCTTCACCCCCCAGAATCCCCCAGCCAGCATTCGCTGGCTGGGGAATTCTGGGAGTTGAAGTCCAGACATCTTCAAGTTGCCAAGGTTGAGAAACACTGCTTTAGAAGCCTGAGACTCTGTTGCTAAATGTTGGTGATGCAATTTTGGCCTGTTTTTCAGGATTTGGTCCAATATTAAGGATGGGAAAACAAGTTCAAAAGGAAGGACTGCTTCCACTCTGGTTCCCTCCTCCCCATTGCCCCAAAGACTGAAGTAATCATCTACCCTCTGGCCCTCAATGACTGGGAATCGGCAGAGGAGGGGATGCAATTTACACATTGCACCTTGAACCCATACCTTGGTGATATATACACTTGTGCATCTTTTAATAAGGGGCATTCTGTTCATTTAAATCAGTGTTTTTCAAACATGGCAACTTTTT